AAAGTTTTTTTGGGTGTTAGTATCAATATGTTAGTCTTAAGGTTATCTATAAGGCAGTGTGCTCCAAAAATAGTGACAAAATTCGCATTTAGAAGATATAAGCATTCAAAGCTTTCAGTTCGTCACTTCCGCCAAAGCGGCTCTACGATTTTTTTGACGTCACATCGTACTTCAGCTTCTCATCAAACTTTCTGTCCAATCAAATGCTCTCTAGAATCCGAAGCGGCCGCCCCTACACTATAAAATAGACGCTGAAGCCGCGGCTGAAATCGTTCACTTGTCCACAGAATTAGTATTTTCTGTACAGTGAATGGCACGTAGTGCACTATATAGGGGACAGGGAACGATTCAAACAGTGTAAATATGCTTTCCATTGAGGAAAAAAAGAAGTCTGGTTTCGCGCTGTGTCACGCTAACCATCGCACCGCACACACACTCTGCTCCGGTCCAGAGACACGATAGCACGGAGCGGATCACATGCGCGAGTCGGCGCAGACCACAAAATGTATCGGAGCTATATTCTACACAGAATGCTATATTTTATAGCAATATGGATGAGATTGTGGCTGGCATACCCTGTCAAATGCGGCTTTGCGGAGCTCAACGGCTCTGAACGGCTCTAGCCCAAGTTGTGATATAAACGAATGCTATAGGCTATTTTAAAAAGGGGCGGGGCTGCTTGATATGTCCCGCCCTGTATTCCTGTTTCAGTTCAAATTACGTCAACACAGAGTAACACTGCGTGTTTCTAAGCATTTCAAGGGACCTTTAACCACTGATTTCTAGTTGTGTCCTCTTTTGGAAGACCAAACAAAGTAGTTTCGCTTTCATAATGAAACACACAGCGTCTCCACAACATGGCGGCGGCGGCAACAATACTGCAGCCTTCTTTCTTTGCGTGAACATTTGGGCGGTGTTATGCAAATCTTCCCACATCGTGACGTAGATATGTGGGGGCAGTAAAAATTTAAATCACATCATATGACCCCTTTAAGTGAAGTCCCTGTGACTGAAGTGCTGCCGTTGCCATTTTGTCTCGCGGTCCGATTGGAACCAAGCCAAGGTCTGGACCCAGACCGAATATGCCTGCACTACACGATTATTGCCCCGATTTTCCACCATTTTACAGTCTGGAGAAGTTGATGCTAGTTGGCAGAACCAGTCTGCAGATTTGAGTTGACAGATTCCATAGAAAATCACATATAGTGTATGATGGTCACAGGCTCTGATTTTGTAGCTTCAGATTTGATTCCATCTAGCTGGAGGATATCAAACATGTTTGATACTTTCAGCCGATTTTAGAACGTGTGTTGTTTTCATTTGTCACGCTTCTCCTAGCAACAAGGCGCGCGTTTCTGCATAACTTTGTTGGTAGTGTATGATCCTCAGTCATTCAGTGTATGATGGCCAGTTTTCCTTTGTCACTATTTTCAAAGTCGGTAAGTGTTTGTTGCCTAGTGTTTTAAAAATCTGTTCAGATTTTAAAAGTCGTGTAGTGTATTCCAGCCTTAAGTAACAACTACATGACTTCTGAAATCTAAGCTGGTCTTGTTGGTTGCTAATAAACTGAGTCACAATATTTTTTTAAAGTTTAGCAATGACCATAATTTAGTTAAATCTCTCACAGGAAGTGGTAAGATTTGAAAAATGTAAAGCAAATATTACCGTAACCCAGAGCAGGAGCTGAGTGCCACACGGGACTGAGGGAAACCTTGCACTGAACCATGATAGTAACAATGCATCTGACACAGAAACAAATTTATGTTAAGTTGCTTAAATAACTGCAACATTCCAAAAAGCGCTGTGAAATAAATGTGCCCTAGTGTACGTACAAAAAACTCAACTCACCACTGGGCTCTCCTTCATGGACACCCCGGTTCCGTTTGGCAGGTAGTAGAACACGTTAGGCGGCTTTGGCAAAAGATCTCTGCAAGCAGACCAATGTTCAAATATGATGATCTACGTAACTTCATTAGATGCTGATTATACACACAGGAAATGACTTACTGGTTTTTCTCTAGGTCCAAGATATACAAGCTGCTTCCCACTTGTAAACCACACTGCAATCTGTCAGGGTGACCATTCTGGAGAGAATGAGAGAGACAGATTTCATGTTATAAAGAGATTATTTGAATAGTGAATTTGTTATATACGGAGATATAACAAGGCCTATTTATGAGTCCTCCTGCTCCATCTCAGCAAATGTTACAAATGTGACCCTGGACCACAAAACCAGTCATAAGTAGCACAGGCATATTTGTAGCAATAGCCAAAAATACATTGTATGGGTCAAATTTATAGATTTTTCTTTTATGCCAAAAATCATGTTCCATGAAGATATTTTGTAAATTTCCTACCATAAATATATCAAAAATGTATTATCATTAGTAATATGCATTGCTAAGGACTTCATTTGGACAACTTTAAAGGCTATTTTCTCAATATTTTGATTTTTTTTGCACCCTCAGATTCCAGATTTTCAAATAGTTGTATCTCGGCCAAATATTGTCCTATCCTAACAAACCATACATCAATGGGAAACTTATTTATTCAGCTTTCAGATGATGTATAAATCTCAGCACATATATTCTTCCATTAAAGTCAACAGAAAGATTCTACATATTATTTATGAGTTAATCTACAGTATAATTTAACATGTTGTATAGGTTTAACAAAGCAGAAAGAAAATCTGTCCAAGTACCCTGAACTTGTACAGACACCTCTAATTTGTAATCACTGCATCAGCGCATGGCCAGAGGAAAAGATGGGTTCTCTGAGAGGATAAAATTGTTTCATTTTAGAGGGTGAACTGGGCTATAAACAGACTTCCCCTCCTCCAGACTCTTTCTGAGCCTTTCTCTTATCTCACTTCCTATTCTAAGCACCTTTTCCTGCCATTCTATCACATCCCTTTGGCACGCACACACATTCAGCAGCCTGATGAAAAAGTGAAACCCCATTCAGCTTCCTGTTATACCGCTGCTGCTGTTTCCTGCTTTTCTCCAATGTGCTAATGGGAACAGCTTACTTCCTTCTCTCAGCCAATAAAAGGAGGTCTATCTGACCTCTCCCTGTACCAGCTATTCTCTTTCCCTGCTAGTCAAAGCAAGTTGGACATCTCTCACAGCAAACTGACTTTAAATGGAAAGGTTACATTTATTCTCTCTATTTTTCTGAAAGTCCAAGCGAGCTAGTCGAAACGCTCTCTTTCATTACAGGCAATCCTGAATTTGTAGATGTGAAGAACAAAACGTGATCACACAGTAACAAAGCACACACTTAATCTGATGAAATGCTAATGCCACATTAAAGTGATGAAACATTACTGAGCAGAGAAGAATAAACAATAAAAAATTAATAAATCATGAGAAGTGATAGTAAAATTGGAGCCAGTTTGGAAACTTTGCTGAAACCGCATTTTTAGGAGACTTCCAAGCATGTAGTAGGTGAAGGTCAAGTTCACTCTTGAGAAAGAACTGGATGTAGCCCAAATAGGCTGAGTAAAAATATTGATTTTGTGAATATTCATGAATAGATTCATATAGATTTTTTATTCTATGGTAGTATTCCTGCACTGCTTTTCAGCGGCAATGCACCCTACTAAATCTACAGCCCCGGCAAAAGAGTCACATTTTAACCCAAGTTTCACCTAAAATAAAGGTAGGAAACTTCCATATTGTCCACGTGGCTGTGTGCAACGTAGAGTGTTGACCCACAATCCAAATCAAAAACAAATGACTTTTATAAGCAGGTTCATTTTATTGAATCAAAAACATACAGAGCAACCACGTAGCCCAATTCATGAACAAATGACTTGTTTGAGTTGGCCTTTTTAATGAATCAATTAAAATCGCTCACAAACTCATCTATTTATTAAAAAGCAATTGAACTAGATTCAGTTTAGTCTTGTAATTTTTTTTATTTTAGATTGCAATGTACCAAGTTAAAGGGTTCTATACTAATTTATAGTAATAACTGAGAATTTCTTTCATATGTAAGCAAAATATTACACATTATAGACTGAAATACTCAAAAGACTCAGAATCCAATTAAATCGTGAATTTGTGAATTGAGAGTTGTGAATCTGAATTAAATTCAGGACATCAGCACTTGTTTATTGACAGCCAGTCCTAATCCCAATAATTATGTTTCTTTTTCAAATCTAACTTTATTTGTTATTATTACAGTAACCTTATTACATTGATGTTAACTAACATTAAATTGCTATTGGCAAGTATTTAAAGGCTGCATCACCTACAACATGTTACAGCTTAAAACAATACATAAACAGCTGTTTGGTTAATGGTTACTGTCTGAATTACCAAGGTGATGTAAGCCGGAAAGGACAGTTGTTTCAGAGGCAAAACTTTTCCTTACATAACATGAATGCACAAAATAACCAGTAATCTGAATTAGGAAAGTAAATAGGGTCAGTTTTGATTTCATGTCTCAAGTACGAGACGGTTGTGCTGAAATCCTGGATGGATGTCAGACCTCTTACTGCTCTCTCAGATCTCATCCAGTTTCTTGCGAAAGCTTTAAATGTTCTTAAAGATATTGTGGAGCTGCTGAAAAGGTTCATCAAAAGGTCACGAGACTGACATCCCAAGAGCATCACTCTCTAAACCACATCTGCTGTCATTTACCATGCTGAACAACACACCCACACAAACACTTTCTCCCAAGATCGAACCTCTGGGTTGTTCACAAAAACTGAAGCCCACATTCAACCAACAGATACTGCTCCAGCATTGTTCAGGTTTCCTACAAAACCACAGGCATCTATTTGTAGGCTATACGTTTATTGCTATCAGATGGTTCTGGTGAGCGCCTTTCCTATGAACTCCTGGGAACAGACTGCAGTTCACTGGGAATGGGTGGATCGCTTGTCTCTGAACAACCAGGGCCAAGTCAAACTAGTGACTGAGGCAAAGATGAAAAAGAGGGTTTGTATGCGTGTACTTTTCACATAGACATCCCAAGCATATGTACTACACAGCGTGCCACCAATGAAACTGGAAGGTTTTCTTTTACTTTTGGTCTTTGTTTGTTCTCAAGCGTGTGAGACAAAGACACTCAGTAAAAGGAGGAGTTTGGAGGTGGAGGCAGAGCAGAGATCTTTATTCAGGCATCAATGCCCAAAACGCCAAACTTTTACAAAATGCCTGCCAATTCCATCCTCAGTGTCCCAGAGTCCATTCCTTCATACCCGACTAATTTTTCGCTCTCATTTCTTTGACTGTAAAACATTCCACAATCTTTCTTTTTATTTCCTTTGCCTTCTGCTCTGCCCTCTCTCTTTTTCTCCCCCTCTTTATAAGCCTCTCTTTTTCAGTCTGAGGTAATGTCCCTGAGCACATGCTGTATGCAGCGCGATGACCTCAGCAGCTGATGAATGCTGGGTGGGGTACTTTTACTGAGGCTAGCTGAGGGTGACGAAGAAAAAGAGCGTAAGAGAAGGGGAGGATGAGAACTGCACCAGAATGCATGGTTTGCCTGTGCCTTAACCGTGGCCCATATGAGACCTTCTTGGTTCATACAGTCGGATGTGGAGTATTTAAATACATGTGGTTGAGTAAATGGGTGATTCATAAGTGTTGGTGATTAGCTAAAAAAGAACTGACTCATAAGTGTTATTTGCTCAGAAATGTTTTTCACTGGTAGCAATGTATGTTTTGCACTACAAAGTGCATGGAAACATCATCCGAGTGTCCCGTCCACGTGAATCTGGTACCTAACCCTAGTAGCCACTATATTTAATTGTGGTTGAAGTAAATAATGAGACTCCACAGGTTAAACTCTATTAGGGTGCCATAAGAGATTTCTTATGGAATGACACTCAGAAAATATCCTTATTACATGACAGAACATTACATGTCTGTGCTCTGTAAATAAATTTGTTTGGCCAATCAGAACGCTTTGAGAGGCACTGTGTGTCAATCATTTTGAAGGCTGCCCACAGAGTTCACCCAAAAATGAAAACTCTGTCATCATTAACTAACCCTCATGTTGTTTCAAACCTGCATTACATTCTTTCTTCTTTTGTTTACCATTGACATCCACTGTATGGACAAAAAAGACAAATAAAGCTTTAGAACGACATGAGGTTGAGTAAACGATGATAGAATTTTCATTTTTGGGTGAACTATCCCTTTAAGCTGTATAAGCAATTTTCAATTTTTAATTTGAGATGAACACTCTCTCTAATTGCCATATTAATATAATTTGAGTTCCAGTTAGTGGGTGGTGGATGGCTTGAGGACAACTGTTTATAATCAACAGATTCACTGATACACACACACATACACACATAAAAACACACACACACACCCTAGCCATAACCCGCCTTTCCTCTCCATGGCAAAACAGGCTAAAAACAGACCATAGTTGTCTGATTCAACCAGGCACAGAGGGGCTGCTTTACTGTGCATGACAAAATAAATGAGTCAGCGTGTAACCTAAGGAGCAGTTTGCTTATCACACTGTTAAGAGAAGTGATAAAGAAAAGAAACGAAAAATTAAGAGACAGTAAATGAGTAATTAAAGCTTAAGTGAGGGAGGTGGGTTTGGTGTCCGTATCGGTCCTGTCCTGGAGGGAGACTGTAGGTGTGTGTTGACATATTCAGCTGGAAACTTCCTGACATAAAGTATGACCAGAGAGGAGAGGAACTAGAGGCAACATTAAGGGAACGGACACTTCCTGTGCAGCTGAGAGCAACTCTGAAGTCATGTCCTGCTAAATTCCCCCATTCCACACACACACTTTTATTCCTAGTTCCAGTAACGAGGAATGTTATCCTCATAGGCATGAGATGTTAGTCAATTTAACATGCTGTTTTAATGATTAATTATTTCTGTTATTAGATGGTGCAAAAACTCACCTGTAAAACATCACTCAGGCTTCTCCTAAGTCCATCAACAACAGCAAACGGCCTTGTCTTCGCCAGAGGCAGTTCTCTTCTATGTCGTGTGACTGTAGATTTAGAAAAAATATATATATATATATATATATATATATATACACACACACAGCGGTGAAAGGTCATACATAACATGTCAATATGAATCATAACATGTAAATATAGGTCATATTTTTTAAATAGTTAAATATATATATATAAATATATATATATAAATATATTTATAAATATATAAATATAATTTTATACAAAAAAACCTGAAACTTTGATTTTATTGATAGCTTATGTTACCATTTCAAAAGTCCTACAAAACCTTTGCGGTATTTATTTCAGAATGTGGGTCAGAATGAAAGGAGGATTAATCTGTTCAACTGAGAAAAGTTTTGTAAGTGCAACCCAAATACTTGGGTAATCACTTGTTATTTCTTTGGCTAATATTACCAAACATCTCCCTGCATGTCAAATAAGATGAAACTAACACAGACAGAAATTCCATCTCCATCTATTAAGATTCCACTACTTTAATTTATTATTAACCTATCAATAACAAAGAGTTAAAGTTGTGTTGATGATATTTTGATAGTTTTTCTGTAATAATGCATGTTCATCTTAGAGTATTAGAACAGTTTTGCTCAAATGCACAGTCATACACCCAACAGGAACACATGGTAAGTAATAACCACTATAAAGGCTTGCTGTGTTGTGAGGGCAGCTGTTGTTTTGTCTGTGACTGACAGCTGGAGCATGCAGGTACAGCACTGGTTTGAAGGGCCTCTAAATTGGATCAGAAGAATCTGGTCAGTTTGGCTCAAATAAATAGCTTGAACTACCAGCCAAAAATGACAAAACTTGGAGAGATGACATTATAGCTCTAGGATTCTCAACAAACGGTTTAATTTACTTGGAAACAAGTCAGAACTGAAAATCCTGAAGGGAATCAGCACGTTTTCAGAATGCAATGGCTTTTATAGAATACGCTTCCTCTCCAGCAGCCCAGATCGAAGAGCAATTATGTTCAAGAATGAGCAGTCCTACATTATACTCTTTGAGCAGTTTACAAACATTGAGCCTGTGATTAGATGGGTAAAGGACAGTCTGCTAAGCAGACTATTAAAGAACAGAACCTGTGACTTATCTAGAGACTAACTAAAATAGCTGAGCTGTTCCAAGCACGACAGCAGACTTTGATAGGTTAAACAGCTCCAATACAAAAGCAATAGAACAAATAACAACAAAACCATATGTTTAATACCCATAAAATGTATATTTCATCTACATCTACAAGTATTTATCTAATGAACCTTTTGTGCAATGAAAAGGTTCCATGGATGTTAAATGTTCTTCAAGGAACCATAGAAGCCAATAAAGATTGTTTCTTTCTTCTTGTTGGACTGTTGTACACACAAAACGGAGCGATTTGTGCTGCACAGAATGCTTTAGAAGCAAATGTATAAGTATCCCTAACTACTTTGATGCAACAATTACTCAAATGCAATATTTAAAGCGGAGTATCCCATACCATTGTGAGAGGAGTGAGTTATCCGTGTGAAGCTGCTGTCATCCCTGTTTAGGGTCAGAGTGAGGGACCCCCTGAACATCATGAGCGGGGTGCCTTCAAACAGAAGAACAGTGACGAGAGTTCGCCAAAAACACCTGAACAACTGATGATGGTGCTTCATGGTCCAGTGACGCACCGATTGGTCTATTCTTTGAATTCAAATGGAGTAGCGGATCAGAACACTTCTTAAAAACAGTCACGTTAACACGGCCCGCAGTCAGACGCGCACCTGGCCATTCACCTGCTGCTGGACGCCAAACTGCAGTCCGTTCTGAAAGCGTGTTCTCGGCCCAGTGTAGGTTCTGTCAGGGCGAACCGACATCCTGCTGAAAACCCCAGTTCTGTCCCAACAATAATAATGGCTACTCTATTGCGCTCGTTTCGTTTTGAGATACAGAGGAATCGCCTGTAAAGATAACCTTGTAGAATAAGCTTTCTCTATGAGGCGGATCGCATAGTGCGTAATCCGTCTGCTCGCCAGTGTTAAACTGAGGCAGTATAATCGCATTTCTCAGTGCGTCCAACCAGACAGGATTTCCTCTTTCGAGTTAACTCTTTGCTGTCCGGTCGGGTTCAAATCCTTGCCAGAATGAATATACTCGTGGTTCTTCAACAGCTGGAATAATAAAGAAAGATCCTAGAGGGCGTAGCCTACCAGGCATTAATTATAACATTTAAAGCAGGGGAAGGGGATGTACTAACTAAAGGACGTCAAAACTGGATTGGGAAGGTCTGAAAATATGTAACAATATGTATTCATTGTATACAACATATACATTTTGCGTTTTCAAACAATTAGCTGCGAACTTTAATTGCAAAGTTTAATCGAAAGTTTAATTGCAAGTTAAACAGAAATCGTGAAGTTAATGTAATTATTTAAGACTTAATTACAAGTTTATATATCAAAAAAGTATATCATAAAAGAAGCTGAAAAGGTTTGAAGACGACTTGTTTCTTTCTTTTAAAAAATAAATAAATAAATAAAGGTTAAGCGAGACGAACATGCGACAAATCATTTCTGGGTAAAAGCTTGATTTTTACCCATTTCAGCAACGACAACGTACAATAATCCATACAAGGCATTTTCCATCAAAAATCATTTCTTCAATTAAAATATCAGTAATTCGTGCAGTTTGGGGGCTGTAAAATGAATGCATGTCAGAAATTGAAGTTCATCAGCAGCCAGGCTACACATCAGATTCAGAGCCGCTGTCTTGCTCTCCACACTGGTCATGAGGGAAGCAGGCATAGCAGATGTTGTCCAGGTCTGTCCAGCATTGCTGACAACACATCATTGTGCAGCCTACAGAACTGCACTCCACAGCCTGGTTCTGTCTCACAAACCCATCACCAGAGCAGTCTATAGCCCACAGGCTTCAGTGGTGAAGGGCTATAGGCCCTTCACAGCCGACAGCACCTGGGAGAGAAGAGGGAGAGTTCGAAGATCAGATCAGACCAAGGTTTAAGGTTAAAAAAAAAGACATTATTTTCCACATACTGTACATTATTGTTTCTCTTCTATGCAACGCCTTTCTGAAACGCGTCGATTTTACGTCCGCTTTGTCCACGGTGAAAGCCAATCCGGCGATCCACAGCGCGAAGTTGATGTATTTCCTCAGCGACCAGCACGGATCAGCTCCCGGCATGATGAAGCGGATATCGTCCTCTTTTGGAAGACCAAACTAAGTAGTTTCGCTTTCACAACAAATCACACAGCGCCTTCACGACATGGCGGCGGCGGCAACAACAATACTACAGCGAGGATAAAAGTTACGCCTTCTTTCTTTGCATGAACATTTAGGCGGCGTTATGCAAATCTTCCCACATCGTGACGTAGACATGTGGGGGGGTGTTAGAACGAGGCGTTTTAGGTAGGTGTGGCTAACTCTTAACTTTTATAAAGAATATCTCCCTTGGATTTGAGACTTTAGTCTTTACAACTTTACAGATCTTCTTTATGCACCAACAGCTTGTAACACTCCAAAGAGAAAGGAAAAAATTGAAATCGCATCATATGACCCCTTTAAATTTTGCTGAGTGTTTTACTTGGCATGTAACCCTAAGAAAGGCCATTGTTGTGTATTTACTGCTACAGCTGGAGAGGTGCGGATACTGAAGAACGGTCTGATTGTTTTTGTTTGCTTGTCAGATAGATCTCCCACAAAATATTTGGTAGTTTTTAAAACAGAGGAAGTACTTCCAAATGAATCTAACCAAGTTCTCAAATTGGACTGCATCCGAAATTTCATACTGTCTGAATAGGCACTGTAGGCCTACTTATTTTGAATAATTACTCCACAACCATTCAAAAAAGTATGTTCCATGTAGTATGAATGTAATCCAGATGTACTACATTTGTCATGTTGTCATCGTGTGACCTACCAGCTTCAGTTTCACTGCCATTCACAAATCCTATCCCGTGGCCTTGTGGGACAGTAAAGTGTCCATTGGATGTACACTTCAGAATCTTGTTGGAAATAGTAGGTCATCCCAGCACTTTTTGCCTACTGTTTTATAAATACTGTGAATTTGGACGCATTACTCTGTTTGCATGCTGTTATTTGCCTACTATATACTGGGAAAGTATGCGATTTTGGATGCAACCTTGGTCTCATGCTTTTTCTCAGATTTCACTGAATGTATGACTTAAATGGAATGAAAAGAAAACAAAATGAAAAGAATTAAAAATTCAAAAGAGGTTGTAAACTGCAGAAATGTATATATGAAAAAGTTATGTTTTCTCTGTAGGGCCCTATGCAGATGTATCACACACACCTTTATAAATGTCTGTTTTTGATTTCTCAGCCGATGTCATTGTCTTTTGATGAAGGAGATACGTTTCTGGATCTGTAGGTTGTAGAGGAAGAGGATCCGTCTCTTTTCTCTCTGAAAAAGCAGAACAGATCAGATGGGTTTCGTCCATCAAAATGATGAAGACATTGCGGATAATAGGGGAAAAAAACACTACCGGTGTTCACCTCTTCATAAATGAGCTAATACTAGTGCCACTAGTTGAATCAGGCTTTACAGGGTGCCTGTAATCCTCCTCATGCCGGCACGGGCCCATGGAGAGTGCTGCAAATCTAATGCTATTACTTTAAAACCCTCTTATCTTATTAGTACTTTACCTGCACATACACTAGAGAACACATATTTCACTCATTATGTGTGAGAAAGTATCCTCCTTTTACACTGCACGTTGCGCTCAGAAACACTGAACTTGCTGAATCAGAATATCAGTTAAAATCGTGACCAAACGGATTATATTGCATAAGCGATTTACTTCTACCCATGGACTAGTCACGCATGTTCTTCAGAACTTAGCCTAGAACCCAAAGACAGTGTTCAAGCTGTCAAAGTTTCCACTATTTTGTTAGAAACCTTATTATCTTATACTAACTTCTTTAAAACACAAGTGAGCAAGCTGGATCATATCTCACATAAAAAAACTAATGAAAATGCATTTATTTTAATAGGAGAACTGGCTGTAAACAAAAAAATGACATCAGAGGAAGTAATTTTGCCTGTTATTGTGCTTTTTGTTTGTTTCAGTTATGCTAGGAGAGATCTTTAGCATTTGTTCAAGCCTTCCTGTGCCAAGAGTACAACGGCAAAACAACAGCCTGAGCAATAATAAATATTCTCCTGCTGGGAGAATTATTTTTGTGAAATGTCTTTGTAAAATGCACTGACTATGAAAGGTGCCAGTTAATTTTTTTATACCAAACTGCATTATGAGAAAAACACAGCTCAGGGACCTCATACCAGACCCGATTCAGGACATTATGATGAAATTTCCTTTAATAAATGAAAAATGTTTGTTAGTAAATAGATAATACTATGAAAAAACGAAACATTTATCACAAATGTTTATATTAGAAAAACCTGAAAGCCTTTAGATTGTATGAGGAAGTCATCAACAGAGCATTAGCCGGATAGCTGCCATACACACATTACATTACTGCAAGTGCAACAGCTATTATTCCTATATCTGTCTGGTTATGTAATAGAAAATGTGATCAGCATTAGAAAGCAGCAGCACATGCAGAACAATGACTCATTTAAGCTCCTTAGCCAAAGAAAGCATAAGGAGCTGCTGATATTTATGACAGACCAATATTGTTAATGATAAACACTGCCAGGAGTACTAGCTTCTGTCTCTCGATCCAAACAAACCATCCATTGGCACAATCAGTCATTCATAAGGTGCTGGGCCCCTTAGATGGATGTCACTGTAGGGTTGCTAAACAGAATGGGACTGTTTGTAGGAGTAGAAGGCAGTGATGACCCTGCACAGACGATTGGTGTATACCTGCAGGCAGCACATAAGGCACATCAGTAAAAGGGAGCTGAAGATCCACAAGTAGTTTGACTGGCTCAGAGCATGTGGCTGGGGCAAACATTCTATACACACACACACACACACACACACACACAAGGAAGAACGAAAATGATGCAAAGTGTAGATGCAAGAAAGACTATGCAAACAGATGCAAGGAAAATACCCATTTGAATTCAGTATGTAAATATCACAATGACAATCACTTTCTGATAGGTTTTTTAGTTTTAGTTTTTTTGTTTAATTTTTTATGTATTTGAAAGAAGTCTATTATGCACACAAAGGCTGCATTTATTTGATGAAAATACAGCAAAAACAGTAATATTGTGAAATATTATTACAAATTAAAATGTAGTTTTAAAATGTAGTTTATTCCTGTGATGACAAAGCTGAATTTTCAGCAGCCATTACTCCAGTCAGCGTCACACAATTCTTCAGAAATCATTTTAATATTTAAAAATTTTTGTGGAGACCATGAATTTTTTTTTTCAGGATTCTTGGATGAATAGAAAGTTCAATAGGACAGTGATCGATGTAGTGCATCCTTACTGAATAAAAAAAAAATCTTACTGACCTCAAACTTATGAACTCTACAGTATACAAATAACACAAATAACCTATTACTGGATCAGGTTACATAGCAAGTAAACATAACAGAATAACTGATGAATGTATGTTGTCTGGCATGAGTGCTGTCATGCTAATGTTATAAATAGTCCTCTCATCAGCCGACTGCATGTGTACTGCCCTGTGGTGACCGGTCCAGACCAATTTAGACCTATCTGGATGAGACACACAGACACAATCAGAGCTTTGAGTTTAACTCTGATCAGATTAAATAGATGGCTAGACCAAAGACGTCACTTGGCCTCAGAAGAAACCGGCTGAATCATCAAGCCATTGCCAACAGTCACTCATAGAATCCTGCAATGAGGAATTCAGTGTCTGACAGAGTACATTCACAATCTCTCTAATACTGTTAGTATTAGTTGGAGAAGTTGGAGAACTCTCTATGTTTTCAGGATGTTAGGAAGAAACCTGAAATTTTTGAAATGGCATTTTGAAAGCAAATGAGATGAGTTTGAAAGTGCTGTGTTACATAGACTGCTACAACAAACATAGAAAGACCTTGAATGATCATGAGAGAACTGGGACCTAGCAGTACAATATATCGATATCTGGGTCATGATGCAATAACTTATTTGATGTATATTTATTCCAGCTGTGGTGCATTGAGTTTATTTTCTTCTAGATCTTTGTTTCTCTTTCATCTGCACAGGGCTTCTGTGTCTGTGCGGTTATTCTTAGCTTGTACGGAGTTTGGATTTTGCCCCGAATTATGTTCAATCTCCTTTTCCCAAAAGCATTCATGCTCTGTCATTGCAGTCAGCGGTTGTTGCAATGCATCAGTCCAAAAGAAGTGAAATAAAAAGCGCCCATCCATATCCTGTAGCGAATCGATGCGTTTTTGTAAGAAAAATATCCATTACACTTCCGCGTTCGTCACTTCTGAGCGCAAAGCCGACCTCATACGTCATCCGCCCGGAACTGCTTCCGTGTACAACAGTGAGCGCAAGCTAGATTCAATTGATTATTGGTTATTGGAAATATGGTTATTTTTCTTACAAAAACGCATCGATTCGCTATAGGAGGACTTTGTTCACCCCCTGGAGCTGTGTGAGACACTTTTTATTAAGGATGGGTGCTTTTTATTTAACTTCTTTTGGACTGATGCACTGCACCACCCGCTGAGTGCCATTAAACAGATTGAAAGATCAAAGACAATTTTTAATATAACTCCGACTGGATTCGTCTGAAAGAAGAAAGTCATATACACCTAGGATGACTTGAGGCTGAGTAATTTATGGGCTAATTTTCATTTTTGGGTGAACTAACCCTTTAACTAAAAATATAGACTCTTGCAGTGAGAATATTGAAACTCAAATAGTAAATAACCTACGGAAGTTACTGGATTGCACATCAAGATTGGAGGAGGTGTTGAAGGCACCAATGGTTTTCCGCAGAAGTCTGGCTAACATGGAATCTCCACCAATTACAATGTCTATGTGATGAACACCTACAGATGCAGAGATGAAAAGAGAAAATCTACATCAAATTAATGTACAAACAGTCTAATTCGCATGGGTATGTCAATGCTTTTAATCTTGAAGCAAAACATTACTCAAGCATATATGCAAGTGTGTATTTGTGCTCACTAGTAGCCGAGTATGTGGTGAAAGTGTGTCTTCGGATGAGGTCAAAGATGTTGTACAGGATTCCATCAACGGCAAGCAGAACACACACGAACAGAGCCAGAGATACAACCTGAACAAAAGACACAACATTTCAAAACTAAAATCAACAAGACAACTATAAGTTAATCATTCATAGGCCGATTTCCCTGAAAAGCACCAGAACTCTGGCTCTGTGGCACATTCAATTCAGAACAAACAAACATTGCTCTGTTTCCTTAAGGATCCTGGTCAGCCCAACATAGCAACACTGTTTCAAACTATAGCATGAGTTCGGGGCAGAATTATGAGTTTGATTGTTTGGGGAAACCTGTTTGAAAACATGACATTTCCATTTCTGTTTGGTGCCATTAGAAGAACAGAAACGGCACGCTTCAACTTGAACTCTGCTCCATTTTAAATACACATGAACATCAGAACATGAATTAAAGGGATAGTTCACCCAAAAATGAAAATAACCCTATGATTTACTCACTCTCAAGCCATCCTAAATGTATATGACTTTCTTCTTTCAGACGAAAACAATTGGAGTTATATTAAAAATGTCATTGTTCTTCCAGGCTTTATATTGGCTGCGAGATTTTTGAAGCCCAAAAAAGTAAATCCATCCATCATAAAAAGTACTCCATACGGCTCTGGGGGGTTAATAAAGGCCTTCTGAAGCAAAGCGATGCATTTATGTAAGAAAAATATCCATATTTAAAACTTTATAAACCATAATCTCTAGCTTTCCGCTAACTGTTGTACACGCGTTCATGAGAGAGCGGCGTTCCAGCATATGATGTAGGACGTAGGTGTAGCGTAAGCTCCGGAGAGAAGTGATGAACACGGAAGCACAGAGGAGAGAGCAAAACAAAACACCGGTCACGAATTAAAAGTACAAAACGAGGATTTGAAAAGAAAAATGTCGGAGGATTTTGATATAAGCCAAGAGGTGACTAGATTTCCTTTGCTGTAAACAAAACTTGGTTCTCGTGAGACTAGCAGCTTGGAAGCTTGGAAGAGCCAGGACATTTTTTAATATAACTATGATTGTTTTCATCTGAAAGAATAATGTCATATACACCTAGGATGTCTTGAGGGTGAGAAAATCATGGGTAAATCAAACATTTTAATTTTGGCTGAACTATCCCTTTAAATACTGAACACAGGAACCATAATAGCATATACCACTGGCATGAGCTCGCTGTAGTGTATAGATAAGCTCATGATGTCATCACTGAGAGAAAAGTAACTCAGTACACATGTGATCCTCATTGCTTAATGTTAAGCTCAGATGCAACATGTAAATCTTACCTCTCTTGACATCACACAGAAAGTGGAAATGCATAGGTACGCAGAGGATGTGGTATATAAGAGGGGCTTGAATGTTATTCATACACTCTTCCCACTTAACACTGAATCTAGGTTATTGATACAAAATTAACATGAACAACCTATGCTAATATAGGCGTGGCTAGCTAGCATACAAGATTTTAACATGGCTGCAACATCGGGGGCAATTGTAATATTGTGTTACAAAACTACATTTAAAAATGATTAGTGTTACACATCAAACAATGTGTTGTTTTTTAATCTTTAAAAAAAAAAAAGAATATTACCACCACATGATCTCATTGAGTTTTTCTGTTAATATATCTATCTTGTAATTCTTAAGTAACATTATCAGATACTACAGCAGTAAGGTTATTACTTTGAGGTAGGCTTTTATTTGAGATACAGTGGGTTAATATGACTATATGAGTTAATATGAATGTGACTAATATGGGTTAATATGATTTTTCAGTGCTACAAATGCCCCCAAAAACTGTTACAATTGCCCCCTTGGTGTCATTTAATTTAATATTATAGTCTTATCGTTATTAGTGAAAACATATCAACTGTATTATTAATTAGTGCACCTATATTTGTTTCTTGTATCAAAAGATGACTAATGTATTTCAAGTAATTTGTGAGTTATGAAGAAAAATGTAAAGAATTTTACAATTGCCCCTGGTCTCGCCTACTATTAAGACTAATATTCCCAGACTTTTAGTTAACTAAAACTCGACTAGACAAAAAATAGGTTCAAAAATAAAAAGGACGTTTGGCTAAATACTAAGATTGTATTAAAAAATAGACAAAATGAACATTAGTGTCAGGACTCACCACTATCTCCTGCACTGCTTGCACATAAGGCTCTGTCAGCATTCTCCACATCACCTTGCTGTGTGTGATCTGCAGGTCTGTTACAGCCCATGGAGGAGGCCATGTCCTGCACATTACGCTGGATGTTTGCAATGGGGCCTGATGGAAAAAGCACAGGTGATGAGTCAAAAACTAATGAAGGCTCGTGACTGTCCAAGTTTCTGAGATCTGTGCTTTGTATTGCCATTGTCAAACAGTTTAATGTTCCTATATATGTTCCTAGGATGTTTACCTTGGTAAAGTCCATGCAGCACATAAACCATCAGGAATGTCCGTCCTTGTGAACCAATCATACTAGGAAACATCAGGAGGATGGAGCAGAGGAACAGTGAAGAAAACATGCCTCCAAGAGTACACAGACCTGCACAAACACACAATACAGCAAAGATAACAAGAATTAAAAACACATATGTGACCCTGGAGCACAAAACCAGTTTTAAGTCGCACAGGTATATTTGTAGCAATAGCCAAAAATACATTGTACAACATTTGAGTTAAAATGTGTAGTAAAGTCACCTCTCCTCTGAATGTATGCCAGTGTAGTTTTATTCTTCATTTGTTTACTTAACACCTATACAAAAAATATGATATTAGGAGTATGGGTTTTGGTATCCCTTTAATCTCCTCTGAATTAACTTTAAACTACTGTTAAATCATCTGTATTATCAATAGTCAATTACCTCACAGTTTTCAAGAGGTAATACCAGGCATAACACTCAGTGCATCTCTTTCTCTGTCTTTCAGTCAGGGGTAAAAATTTCCTTCTTTTCCTCATCTTTACCTTGGTTTTCCAAGGCCCAGTGAGCAACACGATGGAAAATGTTGAACGGGCTGCAGACAGTGTGATCTGCGGTGCAGAACTTGCCATGAGCCAGACACAACAGCTCCTGCAGCGTGCCGCCAACCCACTGCTACGTGAGTCTATCTGCAAGAGCATCATGTTAAAGACAACAGCAACACACCTCTTTCAAAAACACCAACATCTGCTCAAACGAAGTAGAGAAATTATTTTGAAATTCACATCATAATAACTTAAAGGGATAGTCCACACATCAGTATTATTCAATATATTAAATATCAAATATTTAGATACACACACATCTATTTTCTTTCCAGTTTAATTCTAAATCTTTTAAAATCCATGTGAATTAGGCAATCAAGGTCTTCTGGTTTACTTGAAAATTACAGTAGTGTGTTGTACATATTTCTGTTTTGAAATCCTGAAAATATCTTTGTTTAGCGGCCCTGAATAAGATAAAACAGATGGCGAGGAATGCTTACTAAATGGCAGGCCGAGCACAAAACTTCATCAGAGCTCTTACGGAATCTGTGCGGCATGTCGGTGAGTGAATCAATCGGTCAAACTTCCAGTAATGACATTGTCTGGGCAAACCCGCCTATGGTCTTTCATTTATTTACTGAGGTTTGAGGTTTTGGCATGTTTGAAGTCCCTCTGTCTCTCGGTTTCCTTTTCAGCTCGTATTCTTGGCGAATATTGGTGATGTGTGTAATGACACGCTGGGTCTGCCATATCAGAAGTGCACTAGGCTGTTTGATGAGGCCGGTGAGCACTGCATGGAACTGCTCTCTGTGTTTTCGTTCCTCTGCCACCTCCTGGATGGATTCCAGTCTCTCTGTGGGCTCGCACGCGGTGCGTCTCTGGAATATGATTAGTCCCTTGAAAGCCTTATCATTACACTCTTACAGGAAACCTTATAGCCACAACGCAATGATTCCTTACTGTAATTTACAGTATCCTGTTTATTTTCTGCGTCACAGGGGTTTGGTTTTATTATATAAATTGGTATATTATGTCTATTCTGCCATTGCAGAATTCTTTCCTGTGACACAGAGTACTAAGTCTTAGGTATTGTTCATCTCCATGCTCGATATATAGTTTATTGATGTTATTTTCTCCTGTGGGAACAGTTTGTCACGTTTAAGTACCCTAAATGTTACAGTGTGAAGAGGGGTGGTCGTGTTCCCATGTGTACGTATCTTGCACATCCCTCAACAGGATGATCGTGATCTGACAGCAAATTTAAACATGAACTCTATAGCTACAGAGTCAGCGCTAAAATAATTGATTTCAGCCTTATGGAGCAGAAATCTGCTGTTTAGCGTAATGCACTTCTGAATAATTAACTGAAAACTGCATGTCATTACTAAAATTATTTTTAAATGAGTCAGTTTGCACAGATGTTGTTTTTTAATTAATGCCTATTGTTTGATTTAATGGGTTTTTCCGGCAGTGGGACAGCTGTTCTGCATCTTACCATCATATACAGTATTGCTGACCACATGAAGACTGCTTTGGCTTTTCGTAAGTACAGCTCCTCTGAGAGTGATTTCCTGGCATGGAGTGATTCTTAACTCTATTAAAACTTATTCAGTTACTCTGAAAGAAGCTTATTGTTTAGTTATTGCCATTTTTCTTGTTGTTATCCCTAGCAACCATTGCAGCCTTTGATCGAATTAAAAAGGAGTTTGAATTCAACATTTCTACCATCAACTTTGACCTGCTTCTAAACAACAGTCAGTCCATGCAGGATGCTGCTCAGGAGATCATGGAGGAGGTGTCAGAGGAGCTGGGCCTCCTCCAGGAGCTTTAGCTCCTACTGGCATACTTGGGTTTCTTCCTGCTTCTCTTCATGTATCTGCAGTATGTACTTCCTGTTAAAGATAACCAGCCACAGTAAATACTCACACACATTGATACATATTCACCATGTCAGAACTGACATAGAATTCTTACAAAATTATTCATAAAATTTATATTTGTTTATATTTTGTTTAGTCAAAACTGAATGGAGCTGTTCAGTTTTTAGTCCAAAAAAGATTTTTGAGCCATGAGTTCTCTCCTTCCGTTTAGGAAAAAATTTCTATAATAATGATAATAAATATTATTGTTAATATATACAGTATTACTCTTCCAGGTTGGCCTACAGATTGACATCATGGCCGAACAGCTCTATTGTGGAAAAGTATTTTTGTAATGTTTGCTTGTTTTTTATGCATTTGTGAACAGGGCCATTCTGGACAAAAATCATTACCTTCATAATGATAACTTTGAAAACATCTACATAACTGACCAGTTTATTGAGCTGGACAGGAAGCGCTCCAGACAGGGCAAAGCAGCTGTACTTCCCCTCAGCCACAGAGAAACTCTCACCTACATCAGGCCCTGTAAGTGTATACTTAAATGATGTGTGCATGTGTCCGTTAGCAGATAGATGGTGTGGGGTGAAGGGTCAAGAGGAAGGAAGAAAGGAAGGAATGTTCATTCAGAACATTTAGATAAGTGAAACAGAGCTGAAAGAGGCTGAGAGGTTCAAAAATGTGGAGGAGGACCCTGAACTGAGAGAGGAGAGATTAACAAGGAAAGATGAGAAAAAGTTCACAAGGGAAAGGTCAACAACTATCAGAGAACAGGGAAAGTGTTTCACACTCAGAGAGACAACATGTCAAAAGGTCAAACTGCTGTAGTAATCTGCACTAAAACACTGACCCAAAAATTGCATGTTTGTTTTAGGAAACAACAACAACTAATTTATGTCAAACTCTACAGAACATTGCTGTATTAAAGGGATAGTTCACCCAAAAATTAAAATGTGATGTTTATCTGCTTACCCCCAGGGCATCCAAGATGTGGGTGACTTTGTTTCTTCAGTAGAACACAAACGAAGATTTTGAACTCAAACCGTTGCAGTCTATCAGTCTTATAATGTCAGTGGATGGGAATCATGGCTTTGGGAGTCAAAAAAACACACAAACAAAACCAAATTAAACCCGGCGGCTCGTGACGATACATTGATGTGTAAAGGCACAAAACGATCGGTCTGTGCAAGAAACTGAATAGTATTTATATTGTTTTTTACCTCTGATGAACTGCAATGTCCGAACTGTCCTGAGCGCATCCTGAGCGCGTCCTCGACCTACTGTTCAGTTTCTTGCACAGTATAATGGAAGTGAATGGGAATCACGGCTTTGAGAGTAAAAAAAACCATACACAAACAAAACCAAATTAAACCCGGCGGCTCGTGACGATACATTGATGTGTAAAGGCACAAAACGATCGGTCTGTGCAAGAAACTGAATAGTATTTATATTGTTTTTTACCTCTGATTTTCACCGCAATGTCTGAACTGTCCTGAATGCGTCCTCCTGAGCGCATTCTCAACAGCCGGTGCCTGATCCGTCTTCTTCTTCTTCTTGCTTTACGGCGGATCGCAGACTTATAAGTGCATTACTGCCACCTATCTCTCAAATGGACCATTGACACTCTATCGGTTTAATTTGGTTTTGTTTGTGTATGTTTTTTTGACTCCCAAAGCTATGATTCCCATCCACTTACATTATAAGACTGATAGACTGCAACGGTTTGAGTTAAAAATCTCAGTTTGTGTTCTACTGAAGAAACAAAGTCACCTACATCTTGGATGCCCTGGGGGTAAGCAGATAAACATAAAATTTTCATTTTTGGGTGAACTATCCCTTTAACCTGCGAAACTTCTGTTCAAATGTTTGGGGTCAGTAAGTTTTTAATGAAGTCTCATGCCCACAAAGGCTGCATTTATTAGAACAAAGATACAGTAAAAAAACAATAATATTATAAAATTATGAAATAACTGCATTTTGTTCAGAGACCATGAAATTGGCTACTCAAAATTAATGAAACTGACATTTAGAAACCTAAATTGTCAATGTTTTCATATGAACAATTTTGCATATTGTTTGGGCCTACGCAGTTCATTGCAATATTGATCAATTTGATTTTTAGGACATTTTGTATGATTTTGTACAATATTGGTACAGTGTTGGATCGACTAATCTGAAATCGTGACCCAAGGTACACAAAGTGAAAATCTCAGCATGGTTTCAATGCATGTTTTTCTTTGTTGCATTCCACAATTTCACTAATATGCCACTGAAAAATGTAACATTATATTGGCACTTTCACTCTTATTTTCACATTGCAATATGTGAGGTAGACTAGTGTGGGTGCTGGTGGAAATTGAGCAGACATAAGTCGTCCGGTCAGAGATGAAGTACACTTTAATGGTTTAAGACTTGTAGAGGTTTACAGTCCTTGAATTTGGTTGAGTGAATGATTGTAGTACAGGTAGCAGAGAGTATGGCAGAGTAGTACAGAGTAGTTTGGAGTGTAGCTTAGTATGAGTGGTTTTGTGTATGAACGCACTCAGTAGAAAACAACAACAGCTTGAACAACAGCGAATAATGTCCGTGCTCTGAACTGCGTCCTGTTAATACTGTTTAAAGGGATGGTTAAAGGGAAATGCTAAGTCATCAAAGCAATACCTCTTAAAGTCACAAGGGGGCACTAATGGCTATATATATATATATATATATATAGCCGGCCTTTTCTACACAATACATATTTAAACATTTTTACATTAAAATAAAATAGTAATATGTCAATGATTTGCCTACTCTCTATATATCTGTTATCCATCTAGCATGTTCTACCATATATGTTTTGATATTTTACCATTTTAATAAAAAAAAAATTTCACCTCCAGCTCCTGTAGTGGTTGCAGTACAAGTGAATGGATCTGGTTACGCTTCAGATATCTTTAGGGACATTGCAGCCTCATTTGACATCCTGCAGAAAGGAAACATCACTGTTCTTAGCAAGAAATGTCTCATGAAGCCTTTGGAGCCAGACTACATGAGATACCTGCTCATTGGTACAACTACAATACAAGTACCATTAGACATTTGTACAAAAAAAACATTTGTACTGTCAGTCTAGATGTCTGTTGTTTTACAGTGACTCCTAGTGGTCAAGACTGGAACAACAGATGGAACATACCACAGTCAAAACACAGCCACAACCACAAATACTAATACAAATTCACTAAAGTGCTAATGATGTCTGTGTCAACTCAAAGTGTATTTAAGATAATTGTACTGAAACCTTAACTAGAATTCAACTACTGTTGTTTTTAATTTATATTTTTTAAATTTTAGTTAGCTTTTTTATTTTTTTATATTGTACAACTGCACTAGTCATTGTAACTCAGTGATAGCAAAAACAGTAGACATATGCAAACATTTAACTTTCATTTGGTTATATGTCTGACCTTTGTCTTCCCTCCAATCAAAGGTCTTCTTTATGGCTTCGCTCTGTTTATTGTGATTGCTGGTGGCTACGTCAAACATTTACAGAGGTTTGTGTGTGCCAGGTACCATCCTGAAAGAGAGAAAGTAGGAAAACAAAAGATTCATTCATTCATTCATTCAAAAGATTCATAAATGTAAATTATTTCTCAATTATTTACTATGCTGGTCACCTTGAGACCTTCTTAATGCTTGTAAAATTTGATCTATAAAGAGAATTATGCCTCATGGAGGACAAACACTTATGTGTACAGGTTTGGCTTGTAAAGGGACAATGAACTGAACTAGTTTATTTTCAGTTTGCTTTTATTATGAATTCATTATCAACATTCATTCAGTTCTTAAAGTAAGAGAAAGTTAGTGAATACTAAATGTGTGCATGTTGCAGAAGAGAATCCAGTACCTCCACAGGCATATTCTCACTCAGTGGGGGTCTTTAGGAAAAGCACTACTGAGGGCTGTACAACGAAACAGGGTAAACCAGCAACATGATGGCATTATACAAACACTGGCCAAACAGTGAGTATGAACCTTTATAAAGAAAATCACTATAACACACTCGCTGGATAAATTATTCTCTTCTCTAAAAAACACACATATATATA